GCTTCAGAGCCTGCTTCCTCCACACCCCTTAGATCAAAACAAACCTTTTTCTTGAGTTTTAAGGTATGTTATGAAGCACATGTATGAGATGTAGGTTTTGAATAGGAAGACATGCTGAACACGGGCTAGTTTCAGAAAATTTTTTTTGAAGTTTCAGGTGTCAGTTGATCGTATGCTGACAGACTTCAGTGCTTCTATAATGTCTGTTGTATATTGGGCAGGCAAGTGGTTTAGAGGTGGATTAGGGTACTCCTGTGGTCCAGTTTTGTTTAGCAAAGGGAGGTGGCAAGATCCAGTTGTCACTTAGTAGTGAATTGAGTTACAGGAGCTTCTGCAGTTTGTGGCTGTGAAGGAGAGAGACTCTAGAAGGGCACATACGAGGTTTTCCTGCAGATCGTTCCTCCCCTGTCCTTGCGACGTGGCTCATGTGGGGTGTGGAGCAGATGGCTGTGTGCCTCCTGGATGCCCTGAGACCTGTGAGAGCTGCTTGAGTCCTCACCTCCAGCTGTGCTGACCTCTTGGGCTGTCCCTGTTGTGTCTGAGAGATGGTCAAGGTTTTAGAATGGGTAACAAGAGTAAGGTATATAAACAGAAGAATATGATGATGTTTTATTGCTGCTAGATTTGAAAAGACCTGACTACTGTTTATCTGCAGTCCCAAATAGGTTTAAAATTGTTGTTTCACGTTTTTCTGATTGGCATTTTATATACTAAATACAGATCAGTATGCACACACACATACAGTCTACAAATCTATTAATGGTTGTCCTCTGTCATTCTCATCTAAATTTTTTCCTTCGCTGCCGGACAGGTGTGCACATATATTAGCTATGTGCACGTGTGCATTTACCTGATGCTGTTGGTGGTACCTCATTTCTGAAGGTCAGTGCCTTTATGTATAGACTTGATGGTGTGACAATGCTGAGTTTTGTTTGAGTGGTAATCAAGAACTTACACGCTAAAGATACGTACCCTTTGCTTTCCAAGAGGTGTTGCAATAATTGAAAACATGCTTTAGTAGACTCTTAGAAGTTGGTTACAAAAACTGTAATTTTGCTAGATTTGCTAGATTCTTCTATGCAAATGTCAAGGAGGTTTGCACTGCCAGTTGATGGATAGAGGCAATACTGACCTGTAAATACTGGAATACTGGGCAGCAGTTCAGTTGCTTCTGTGTCCTGCAGACAGGCAGCCTCATTTGGTGAGATTTGGAATTTAACGTGCAGATTATCAGGCCTAACCTCTTTTTTTTTTTATCAGACAGACTCTCATTTTATACAGTAGGGATTAGCACAGTTAAATTGTATTTTGAAATGGTTGTTTCAGCCCCCTATCTGATTAGGGCTGGTTTTCTGATTTAGAGGGTTTTACTTTGTCTCCATGCCTTATTCTCACCCATCTGAAGGCGTATTTGCTTGGCCTCCCCTGGCTGGCTACATAGTAGCAGTATAGGGATTATATTACATTTCCCAATCTGTTGATATGGAGGACAGGGCAAGAGCAGAACAAACCAGTATTGCTTCAACTCCCTGTCTCCAAGGTAAGGCTAATCAGCTTTTTTTAAAAACAGGAGTCAGGGATTGCTTTATCTCTCTTATTTGTTTTTAACTTCTTGGTGCCAGATGCTTCAGTGCATGCAGTGCCAGGAAAAGACTTGTGCTCCCTAGATTAGTAGTTTCACTTTTGCACAAAGACATTTCAATATTTTTTTTCCCTGATCCAGTAATGAGCCTGATGTGATAGTTAGGACTCCAGACATCATGCTTGCTATCTCTAGGCTTGAGTTTAGCTTATTTTGTGTTTCCAGCATCTTTCATGTGTTGTGACTGTTTTTCACATTTCATTATTTTTAACTATCTTTTCTAGTTCAAATCCTGTGCCTTAATAGCTTCTTAGTTTAGCTGCAGTCCTTCTGGATGAAAAGAAACAAGATAGGATTTCACCCTGACCCTGACAGTGTTGTTTTATAGTCTTTGTGAATATCTAGCCATGTACACTTCACAGGTTTTAATATAAGTAAAAAGTAGGGGCGACAGTCACTTTTCTAACAGCAATTCTACACTTCGAAGTAAAAACATTCTCCCTATATGTGTATGTTTTCCTATGAAAGCTGATAGCATTTTGCATTAAACATGGAAAACATAGCCCTTGTGGATCTCCAGACTGCACAGTTTGAACAATGACTAAAGTATTCTTCAGAAAGCCATTGGGGATTTATTACTCCCGATTTACAGCTGGAGAAAATGAGGAGATTGTTTAGTTGGTGGCAGTACTTCCACTCTGGTTGAGAACACAGATTGGATTTGAGAAATGGGAGATCTTGAGCCTTGTGCTCCTTTTCACTAGTGCATACCCTGCCACTGTTGAAATAGGCAGATTAAACCTCCTAGCTGATAAGAATTTGGTTTCAGGCTTTTTGGTTTGTATTATATGTTTGTTCTGTTCAGAGATGTGGGTGAAAAATAATCACTAAATGTATAGCTTACATTCAAGAGTTTTGTTAGACTGTGTTTCTGCAACTATGGATGACGCAATGCAAAATACATGGTTTCTTCAGCCGGATGCATGGCAGGTTATGGCACTGGATTAATGCCTGATTTCTGTTCTCAGACCTATAGCAGCCTACTGTATAACTCTAGGGAAATCACCTCCTTGCTCAGAGCCTCATTTGTTCTGTTGGTAAAATGGGAAGAGTGATAGTACCTGTGCTGTGTATTTTGAGACCTACTAAAGACTTGAAGAAATAGCAGGAGACATGAATGCTGTGGCTCTGATGGGGAGGTTGTTAGTACAGAGTTAAAATGGAAATTTGATGAAAAACCAATGAAGTTAGCAAGTGTTGACAGAGATAATGTGCACTTTAAAAAGCTAGTTGTGTTTGCATAAATATGTGCATAAGTGCACACACACATGAAATACATGTAACAAGAGTTTATAAAAAATGAGTTGTTTTCCCTATTTCAGACAGTTTTGAACCTTCAGCACTTTATGCCTCAGCAAACTAATGGTGTTCACTTGCACTCTATTTGAAAATGAAGTAATAGATTTGAGTCTTTGCCTGTTTAAAACCTCCTTGGAATTTGGAGAACTTGGAAAACTCATTTGTAGTGTTTAGTATCACTTGAACAGGTTCTCATGTTGACTTTTGGTTTGTACAGAAGCAGAAAGGGATCAGGTAGGGCAGATAAGCATCCACCCAGCGTGATACAGAACTGATGTGCCTGTCTTCTGAGTCATTGCTTGGCCCTCTGTCCTTTTTGCTAGCCAGCACAAGATTCATATTAGTCTGGATCACAGACTTGCACAGAATTTGGTTCTTTCTCTATTAATTTAATTTATTATTACTTACTTTTTATGCAGTGGTAGCATGCACAAACCAACCAGACTTGGACCATGTGGTGGTAAACATTGTGAAATATAGCCAATGGCGGCATCTGCTTCTAAGAGTTTTTATCCTAAGAAAACCTGCATTTATGTAATGCCTCTGATACCAGGCAGAAATTTATAAATTACCTGTGTTTCTCTGATTGGTGTATTATTTACTACACAACTATATACTGCTACTCAATCAGAAATTTACTAAATGATTATATTCATTTAGTTTCCTTTAGAGCAAAACAGAAAGATTAGATGAGGGTAAACCAGTTCCAGCAAAAGCTTGTGAGAGAGTGCAGGGTCGGAAAAGACCTTTATGCATCAAAAAAAATGGCATATGTTTGAAAGGCATATGTCTTCAAAGAGAAGGGTTGACCAGTACAATCCAAGGGTCTTCGTCCCTCGTTGTAAGTTCATAACTTCTAAGGCATTAAAAGTTCCTGTCAGCCATGTTATTAAAAAAAATCTGAACTGATGTAACTCTTTTTTTTTCATGTAATGATAATGCTTTAGAATAAATTTTCCTCAAGTTTGCTTCTCATAATGATTATATTTTTTTGTGAAGATGTTTGTGATGACAGTCACAAAAGAATCATGGTTGCTGGAATGCATTATGAAGCATGAAACAGAGGATACTATAGCTGACTTTGTCTTAAAGCAGGCAAATTACAGATTTCTCTCCTAGGAGACAGGTAAAGACGGAGCACCTGGGGAAACCAAAAGGGAAAGAAATTCAGTTAGCCATGTAACTGTAAGAAAGCTGTGACTAGAAAAATATGTCCACGAAACAATTGGTTCCAAGTCAATACACTTATCTGCTGATTGTATGCGACTGCAGCTCTCTTCACTTCTTGAAGTGACTCACAGATATGTTCTTGGAATTCTGCTAAAAAAATGAATTGTAATGATTTTAAAACAGGGAGGTCGTCTTTATTTGTGGGAAGTTCATTTTATGTTGTTTACTTCAAGTTAATATTTGGTGTTGGTCTAGCAGTAAATTATACTGGGTAAAGGTGAAGAACTGAATCTCATGTTTATATGTTTATAGTTTAGGCTATATATGTTTTGTTCTCACCAGCGCAGTTCATCGTAGCGTGATCATTGTGATTATCTCAAGAAAAGAGAAAAACCACTTAGTACTGTAACTCTGGTTGTTGTGTTTCATATGTGATGCATAAATTTCACATTTTTTATAAAATGTGTTGTACTTACGAGCATCACGTAGATTGAGTGGTACATCTCCAGACTCATTCTGTAGTATCTATGCTATAGGAAGTATTACTGAAATGTAAGCTTCAGTTAATTTAAAGAAGTCTCTTTAGGAGCACAAATGGATGTGGAAGTTTAGCAGAGACAAGACCAAGCAGCATGCGTGTTAGTTTTGGGGTGTGATCATTTGTTTTGGTAGATGATTAGTGTGCTACTACTCGTCTAAGTGTGTATGTGTTAACTTCAAGGGGAAGAAAAGATGATTTGGAGTAAAGGGGGAAACTGTATAAATTTTGAGAGTTTGAAAACAACCTAAAACACAGACTGTGTGTTATTTTAAATAATTTGAAAAAGAATGTTTTTTCCTGATGTATTTTGTAGTTTAACACTTAAAAACTTTTGTGCTTTGTGTGCAGGTATATGTCTCGAGTCCATGGTATGCATCCAAAAGAAACCACACGTCAGTTGAGTTTAGCAGTCAAGGATGGTCTTATTGTTGAAACCCTGACGGTGGGGTGTAAAGGGTCAAAAGCTGGTATTGAACAAGAAGGATATTGGTTGCCGGGAGATGAGATTGTGAGTATAAAGTCTTTGAGAAAGTAAATCACAATTTCTGGTATCGTAGCATGAAGATTGTTTTAATTTCTGTTTAAAGTTATTTATAGAAGCTGTGTTGGTGCTTGTGAACAGGAAAGCAATGCACTCTTAAACTTTTTTAACCTTTTCTATTCCATAGAAGCTCTTCTTAAATTCTGAGTTTTCTGCTATGAAAAACTGGCACAGTCCTTAGCTCAGTCATCCATTACATTTATGTAGTATTCTCTTCTACAGCTGTACAGGAAGACAGTAAATTTTATTGGTATTACTTGAAATCCTCAGATGTCCTCAAATCCCAAAGACAGTGTCTTTTAAAAAGAAAGAAGACAAGAATTTTTGATTAATCTTGCTTTAGTCTGAATCTGAGGAAGGAAGAACTCCTCCCATTCAAAAGCGCAACAAGAATTTGTGTATTTATATACAAACACACATGAAAAGATGTGTTTTACAGATATTTGTGAACACCAGGGCATTCAGTTAAGAAGGATTTTCTTAGCAAATTAGTTACAGGCATCCAGACATTATTCTACTGGATGTGTAAAATATTTAAATAGAGTTAAACAGGTTGAAAGTTATGTGAAGGGAAGAAAAGCATGTTTTCTCTATCCCTCCATAGCCGAGATGGAATGCACTCACAAAATTAACTTAGAATAGTGACATAGACTAGGAAAAAGCTTGCACAATTGCTTTGCCTTATTCAGAAGCCCAGTCTCTGTATTTAAAAGACCATGTTTTTGTAATTAAAAAAAAGAGTTTGGCAAAGCTTTTAAATACTTGAACTAGGAACTCTTGCTTTGAAATATCAATTGCATTAAATACTGGTAAAATGGACAGCATTGTGTCAGACATAGATAATAATTTAAATTTTGAGGAAAATCAGAAAAGCTCTACAGGAATATAAAATCTAAAACCCACCGAAATACTCATTGCATTATTGCAGCCATCAATAAGATCCTGAAAGTGAAACAACAGATTATTTTTTGTTTTAAAGTGAGAGAAATAGAAAACTGAAACAAAAAGTATCCATAACAGAAAACATTATGGTTAAAATTACCCCTGTTACACTAATTGAAAGTATTTAGATATATATTTAATGTACATTATGTCACTGTTAAGATTGTAATTTCATTAGTAACCCTCAAGGGAGCCTTTAAAGGGCATGTAGCTTTGTTTTCACTGTTCTCCCCTGGTGTAAACATTTCAAAATTCCAGCTTAGCTCTCTTAGGTATTTCTGATGTCAGTTTAGAGGTGATGTTAACTGTGTAGACTCAACCTGACATGAAGTCTGAGATCTGTAGTTATCTCGAGTATTCAATATGTTTGTTTCCTGTATTGCTAAGAGAGTAAAAAAAAAAAAAGTTAAAATGCCTCACAATAGCCATTTCTTAAATAGTAATTCAAAAAATGTTCATGCAACTTATTAGCGACATCTTTTTAACAAAATTTGTAAGATAACCACAATGTAAATTCCCTGTGAGTCATCAGAATTACATAATTATTTTATCTCAGAATAAGAAGAGTTGTCTTTGACTTGACTGAAGATGCTGCTTAAGTTGCATTATGAATAGCCCTTTGGTTAGACATATTGACTGTATGTTCAACATGACTGCTAATCACTGATGCCTTGTGCTGTGTCCATATGTCTGATAGCCTCTGATAGCCGTCGCAGTTGTTCAGAACACCAGTGCGCACTTGACTTAACAGGTTTTTGCAAAAATAGGAGTTAGCTTCTGATCCAGGCTGTGTTTCAACAGTACCCAACCTCCAACATCTTGAGCCTAATACTGAATCAGAATGCTGGAGGCAGATGTAGCAAAACACATTGACTTGCTATAAAGTCATTCTCTTTGTTCTTTTATTCAAAAAATTTTAATGAGTAACAGTCGACACTGGACCTCAGATAAAGTATTTTCCATTCTTCAACAATTGGTGCAAAACCATGAAGTTTGCGGCGTTCTCTACATTGAACACACTGGATAGTTTTACAGACGCTTTGTCTGCACTTGATCAAGATGCAGTTTATAGTTCTTTGTAATGCAGTAGTGCTCAGATCTGGTACTAATGACTGTTGAACCATGAGCTCAAGTTACATTTCAGTGAGGACAAACACACAGAAGTCTTTTCAGAGATCCACTTGTAGGAGATAGAGCTCTATGAAATAGGGCTGTTAATGTTGGAACAGGGATTTCAGGGTCGTCAAACTTTAGCATTTACAGACAGACGTTTGTCCCAATTGTCAAACTCGGTTCGATTGGTACTACAGGAACTTGCAAAGCTCATAATGTGAAAGAGAAAGACTTGAGAACTGACCCATCACCTATTGACATCAGTACAAGAATGCCCTTGGATTTTAGCTCGTTTTCTGGCACCACAGTGGAAGTCAGTAAGGATAAGCTGTTTCAAGGAGTTAGCAAAGGGACACATTCCTGTTGTCCCTCCCCTCATTTTTTACATGAGTATTTGCTTGATATTTCTTTATATTTTTGAAGTTTTGGATCTAAATCTTGCATTTTAAATCCATATTCAAGTAAATAAATTACTGGCCTGGACCACAGAACTGCCGAGCACCGGTATGTGTTACTTATATAGGTGCCTGACTAGAGGCTGCCACAAGGCCTGAAAGTGCTGGTTTTAATGATGACTGCGGACTGATTGCTAAATGGTAACAACAACTGAAAGTATGCAGATTGTGAAAACACAGCTCATTTGGAAAAGATTCATTAGATGATCTGTGGTGCTTACTTATGTGCTTCCAGACATTGCCCTATCGAATAGGTTGACATAATAATAGATCTATGCAGTAAGGGCACGATCTCTGATAGGGTTACTCAGCCTTCAGAGGAATGTGTTAAAAAATTTATGCTACTTTGCTATCGTTGTTCTATCAGTATGTTGAAGCTGCAGTAAAATAAATGAAGCAAAAATTTCGTATATTTATGGGTATCATACAAAAGAACAAGCTGAGGTGCAAAGACAAAACAGTTTGAGGACACCAGGAGGCCCTGCCAAAAGGGACAACTCATGTGAAAATGAATATTCTGAAAAACTGGGAAAAAGAATGATCAGATTTAAAAGACTATAAAATTTTCTGTTTTTCTCTCAGATAGATGTGGGAGAAATATTTTTATAAAAGTTACTAAATTTAAAATGTGAAGCCAGTTGCCAAACATATTGTATTCCAACTGATATTGAAGGGTTGACACCTATACAGAAACTTTGCTGCAAATATTATACCTCTGGGGCTTGTGCAGGTATTCATTTCGTTTGCTCATTTGCCATCTATACAGATGTTTTGCACATTTTCAAATTTTGTTCTCATATTACAGGCTTTCTCATCTTGCAGATGATTAATGCATTTGACACAAAATAAATGAGAGAAGAAATTACTTTCCATTGTTATCCAGGATTTTAGTTAGGAATTTTGCATTTTCACTGTTTGTTGATGCCATTATTATGCAATTCAACAAAGTCTCTGCAGCTTTTTGCCTTGCAAGGGAAATGTCTGTCCTGAAATCTGGTAATGGAAGTTTACTTTTTCTTTCTAAAAGCTTTATTTCTGTTTCTCACAGAACTTGTGGAATTTGGAAATGTTATTTATTATCAACTTAAAAGAAATTATCTCCTTGCTGTTCGAGTTTAGAAAAAAATTTGCACATCAGTGTTGTTAACTATGTTTTCAATGCAGTCGATAAAACAGAAGGGAAATATAGTTCTTGAAGGAAGGAAATGTGAATCTCCTTACCTATTCATTTCTGTTTTCAGTTATGCCATGATTTTTATGTACTTTTATCTGTGTAAAATAGTGCTCAGTCAAATCCCAATGAAAGAAGTCAAATTAAAGCACCAATGTCATGTAGCTTTATGGGGGGTTAGATACAGTTCTTAGAGTTAGTTTGTCTTACTCATTTACATATTTTGTGATTTTTCTGCAGACAGTGTGCATGGAACTATTTTGAGCCTTTAACATGCTAATTCTCCTCACGATTGCAGTCATAAAACTGCACTGACCCAGACAGAGGCATGATGAATGTATAATTTCAATTTACCTGTGTTCATAAAGCCAAGCAGTATCGAGCTCTTCTAAAATGGAGATGTGTTACTAACACAGATTTACTGTTTGCATCTGAGTGCAAGATATCTCATAGCACTACTGTGGTTTAAAGTTGGTTCATGGTAGCCAAATTCTCTAATGACATGTGAAGAGTGAGGCTTCATGCTTAGTTAAGGCACTTTGAGCTATTTCTTCACTGACAAAATACAAACAAGGTGATTATCTTTTCAAGAAGTTACTCTTTTACAGAGTTCTCTTTTCTTATTATTTAATTGATTGCTTATAGAAAGAGTCAGCAAGTGAAGTTTTACTTTGGGCTTTAGTTACAGTTACTTTCCTGTGCATTTGGTCCTCTCCGTATCTAAATAATTGCCTCTCCAGTTCTTCCCTCTCCAGATATGTTAGTTTAGTGGAGAGCATGCTATTTGGAGGGACAGTTTGCTTGCTTTTCTGTTTTCAGAAAAAATTAGAAGTAGAATGTGCTTTTCTCCCAACATGCTCATGTATTCATAACTTGCTAACTCATTACTGGGGCTTTTCTGATATTTTATATCTAGAAAGTACTGGTGCTTGCTCAAAGTGACTCCAGATTATTTAAAGTCTCAGGGCTGCCTAAATAATCCATGTCTTCACTCTGTCTGCTTTCTCATCATTTTAACCTTTATTGTAACCCACTGCCAGCACTATGAGTTTTGAAGGTGATTTTGTTAACCCTAAGTAACCTTAGGCACACACCCAGTGATAATTGTGATTTGATGTATTGCAGGTTCCATTTTGCTAGGATCCATCTATGAGAAATGAGTATTTTGGCTGTTATGTTTGTGTTAATCTAAATAGCTTTAGATTGAGCAAAGGTTGGGGTCCTTACTTGCCATGCTTAATTACTTTTGTGATTATATTGTTTTTTCCATGCTAGGTCAGTATTGG